CTTAAGCTGTTACAGTGCTAGCCCACTGAGATACCATGCCGCAGTGAAGCATGAATACCCCACTCAGACACATTATACTGACTCCGAGCCGACCAGTCCTTGTTGTACCCATTAATGCCGAGCGCCAGGCAGGGACCAACAAGTACCATATTTTAACGTGTCAGATATATGTGGTCATGGGGATGTCAAACGTTTCCTCTATCTTAATGGTTGTTTGGACTCGAGACTAGAAATGTCGAATCCGGATTTCAACCATAGTCACAAGTCATTGCAAGAACCTTTCTTGACCAGTTTCAAACAGCGCTAGTTTATCACAAGGCATGTTGTGCCTGGTGTTTTCTGTGTCAGAGACGATAATCTTTGGAACCAGCTAGCTGATATTTCCGTCATTACCAAAGTATCTGCATAAATGAAATGTGCTCTGACAGAGGAGATACAAACAGAACTAGCGCTTTGACGCTTTCGACGGTCGCTTCACCATATAGTGGGTTCTTTGGATCAGTTCCGGTGTTGCTAACCTTAGAAGTTTGACAACACATATATTTCAATGTTACGGTGTTCCCACTATGTGACGCTAAGAACTTATCACTCAACCCTCTAAGTTAGGTTACCCAAGCTGATTGCAAAATCTAGCTTACTGATATGTCAGTGAACTCAAGCAAGATTTAGTGTCAATGTTAACACGGATTTACAAAAATAGATTATTAATTCAATTTTACTTAATTTTGAAGTAATGTTTAATAACCCCAACGATTTACAGAAACACTGGTATACGCTAGGTTACTTTACACTGGTGTGTCACATGCCTAAAACGGGGCGGTAGGCTAGCCTACTGGTTAAAGTGTTCGCTCGTCACGCTGAAGACCCGGGTTCGATTCCCCACATGGGTACAATGTGTGAAGTCCACTTCTGGTGTTCCCGCAGAGAATTTGCTGGAATATTGCTAAAAACGGCGTAAAACCATACTCACTCACTCAATACAAACACACAGGTACATTATGTTACATTGGTGTGTCCCTTCATGCCTGAAACAAACAGAAGGAGTATTTATTTAATTTTTTATTGTAGCTTGTTTACAAATGTGGGTGGCCTAATGGTGATGCTGAGAGCTTATAGGTCGGAGTTACCTCCCACGGTCCCTCGTGATTTATTGTGCTGTGAAGCATTCAAGCCGGGGGTCATCTCAATTATTTTTTAAATCTTCATTCATCGCGAAAACACGAGGGTCTGTGTTAACTGCTCCTTCTCTCACAATATGACAGTGATGGCCATGCACGGAATCGGACTTCTTAGTTTAGTTAAAACATACATCATGTAGATGAAAAACGTTCTCCCTTTCTGAGTTGAAATTCATCTTAGTGATAAATGTCTACGGTCTTCGTCTCCTTGGTAACCACCCACGTGAAGATGACACATGGCATGACAAAACAATGCACTTGAGAGCGATTCACATGAAAATTAAGCCCCCGTGAATTTTGTGAGGTGAGAGAAGTATGGGTGCCTGGCTCAGTGACTCAGACTCACACTGAAAGATGCGGTCACATATGTAGACTAACGCTTAGTCTCTGAATATATACTGTACAAAAATAGTTAGGGATATATGTAAATTTTGAAATTATGAACAATGATCTATTTATTCATTGGCACACTGATAAAATATCAATCATAAAAATACCAATATCCATAACTTAGCCTGTCCAGTATATATAATTTTGATTGTAACAAACAAACCCATTTAAATTGAAAAGGAGCCAAAGGGAGACCAGAGATTCAGAACCTGAGGAAATCTAGACTTGCTTCATTTAGGACTTACAGAGAGGGCTGAACAGCTGGGAAATAATGTGGTTCGGGGACTGTGAGACAAACTATCACATATGTGTCAGTGACGTTTCAGTTTGTTTGTATAGATGTATTTCATAACTATTGACGTTTGGCGGCAGTATTCTAATGTTTGTGGTATTAAACATGTGTCAATCATACTGGCATTTGGTCAATCATATTGGCATTTGGCATTTGGTCAATCATATTGGCATTTGGTTATATTTGTCAACGATTTCAAATGAATTTCATTCATCTGAAACATTCTTAGTATGGATATAATTAAGAAAAATACTGGAACAAGAGTATTGTCTCATTGTGGATCTAGGATTAACTTGTTTATCACCTGACACTAATTGGTAGCTCCCAACTGGCTTATTTCAAACTAACACAGTTCATATGCACCAATCTGACCCCCCCTCTCACAGGGTCTTCTCATTTTGAGTCACAATATGGTGTAGTCACTCTGGCTCAGTTCCACAAAAGGGGCTATTTATGACAACTTCTATGACTACTTCTGCGTCTGCATTCTCATGCCTATATCTGGTCATCTGAATACACATCATCCCTACAGTAAGGCGGTGTCTTCCCATTTTGACAACGTCCCGGTATAACTAAGCCTGTCTAGTTGTAACACATATTCCTGGGGAATCACAATGCTTCCATGAATCACAGAATTTCCATGAATGCTACAATCTACACTACACTACTGAGTCAAAAAAGAAACTTCACAAAATGTAATTTGAAAAATAATGAATAATTTTTCTCTGATGATACATCTATGTACCCGAAATGGGATCCCTATCTTTCGACTCTAGAAAAACGTTAGCAAAACCCACTCAAACCCATCCATTCGTCGTGCAAATGACGTTAGTGCCAAATCAGGTTTTGCACGTGCAGTCGATCACGTGATCTTCGCATCGAAGTTTTCTTCATATGCACGTGTTTGCATTGGCCTCAAGAATTGAAAAAACACTTGAAACCACAGTTCTAACGGTACTTGAAATGCCACGATTGTCAAATGTGCAACGTGAACGTGCCGTTGGCATGTTGCAAGCGGGAAGATCAGTTTTTGACGTCGCAAGAGCAATGGGATGCAGCCGTCGTACTGTGTATGACTTGCGAGGTCGTCTACAACAAACTGGCACCACTTCTGATCGCCCAAGGTCGGGTCGTCCACGTGTGACGTCACGAGCAGAAGACCGTCAAATCGTCCTACGTCACCTACGTGACAGATTTCTGCCGGCTACACGAACCAGGGCTGAGATGTTTAGAGGTCGACTGTCCTCACAGACCATTCGAAATCGGTTGCGGGCTGCCAATCTCCATTCTCGACGTCCATATCGTGGGCCAATATTAACGCCGTTTCATCAACGTCAACGTCTGCTGTGGGCCCAACGTCACCTCCGATGGACCCAGAGAGACTGGAATCGAGTCGTCTTTAGCGATGAATCCAGGTTTACCCTCAGATTCGCGGACGGCAGGCATAGAGTCTGGAGACGACGTCGTGAACGGTATGCCCAATGTTGTGTACAGGAAGTCGACAGATTCGGGGGCGGAAGTTGCATGGTGTGGGGTGCTTTCTGTGGGAACAACCGTTCCCGACTTCTGGTCATCCGTGGAAACCTCACAGCTGCTGCTTCCTTTCATGGCGGCGACCAGATAATGCTCACCCGATGTTGAACTCGTTCCGTTTCATCGAGGGCTGGCCTTAATCCAATAGAGCGTTTGGGATGCATTCTTGGGAGAAGACTTCGTGGTCTTGAACCAACCTCAGAATTTGCAGGAACTTGGCGCTGCCTTGCAAGAGCAATGGCGCAGAATCCCCAACCACGTGTTCACAAGCATCAGGCAGTCGATGAGGAGACGGTGTTTGGCAGTGGTGAATGCGCGGGGCGGCCATACACGATACTGAACTGAGAAATTTCGCATTTGTATTCTTGTGACTTGACATTCTGTATACCCATGTTTTGGAACGGCGGTGTAGCCTAATGGAACTGATTATGGCACTGTCAGTGTATCGAGTACATCACACAGATCTCAGCAATGAAATAATAACAATTTAACCATCTTACCATCTCTTGTTTTTTTATAGTGCCCTGAAGAAAGAATGTGAAGTTTCTTTTTTGACTCAGTATATATGCCCCAGACACGGAACCACAAACTACACCTCCCGAGTGAGTTAGTTGGTGATATTCCAGCAATATCCCGAGGGGTGGAAGACACCAGAAATGGGCTTCACACATTGTACCCACATGGGTAATTGAACCCGGGCCTTCGGCTTGACGAGTGAGTGAGTTTATTTTTACGCCGATCTGACGAGCAAACGCTTTAACCACTAGGCTACCCACCGCTCCTCTTTCGAGAAAGAGCATTCGGGTCAGTCAACTCGACCTACACCGTTGTCTGCTCAAAACTATGGAACCACATGGGTACAATGTGTGAAGCCCATTTCTGGTGTCCCCCGCCGTGATATTGCTGGAATATTGCTAAAAGAGGCGTAAAACCAAACTCAGTCAGTCAGTCAGTCAAACCCATTAAAAGGACTATGGATTAGTGACATTGCATGAAATCACTTTGCTGGCGTTTGGCGTTAGATTTGAAAGACGAAGGCCTGTTGACCAAAGGTGAGGTGAAATTGGGTTTTACGTCGTGCCCGAGAATATTTCACTCATATGACGACGTGCATGCGTGTGTATGTGTATGTGCGGCTGCCTGTACTAGCCCAGACTGAAGCTGGTTTAATAGTGCTAGCCCACTGAGATACCATGCCGCAGTGAAGCATGAATACCCCACTCAGACACATTATACTGACTCCGAGCCGACCAGTCCTTGTTGTACCCATTAATGCCGAGCGCCAGGCAGGGACCAACAAGTACCATATTTTAACGTCTTTTGGTTTGACGCGGTCGGGGATCGAACCCGCGACCTTCCGCTCTCCGGGCGGACGCGCTGTTGACCAAAGAAAGAACCAAATTATCCTTGGTTGACCACTGTTAACTCATGTTAACCGATTATGTCATATTTCAGCTGAACCTTTCTGCATATACCTACCGAAAACCTAGGATAGGGTATCTAGTTACGAAAGTCGTCATATTTTCTTTTAATCACGAATAAAGTATATTAATGAAGATAATTAACAAGGTATAGTCAGTGTGTATGTCATCGGTGTCAAGGAAATGTTATATAATCATGAGAATCAAAAGTGAAATTATGATTTTGTTTTTTAGCTTTCTTTCGTTTCGTTTTGAGCTTTCTTTCGTTTCGTTTTGCAGATATTATTAGAATGGGCATGGTGGCAGCGTTGTCAAGCAATAAAAAGATGTTGAAACACGCATTCCTAATTGTTGACGGATGTAACCTGCGTACAATTATGTATTATTTAGTGTCTGCTATTTTATTCCAATCGTTCCAGGTTCTGTCTTGAACTTGATGCATATTTAGTGGTTAGGCGAATTTCATTATAGTTCAGGCGTCCTTCATCTGTCAAAGGTTGCATTTTATGCTTTTTATATAGAGTAATTCCCTTGGTTCTGCATGATTGACACTGGTCAAGACATATAGATTCTAGATCACTTATGTTAGCACAAGTCACACGGCATTGAGACAGTCATCTATAATGACCCGCATTCTTTTACGGAGAGACGTGCGTTATTGCTTGCCCTACCCAGGGATTTATGAAAATTTATAAAGAAACCTAAGAAAGAAATATCTTCTCCCACGTTATCCGACATATTATGCGCATGTCACCTGTCCTATATGGTGGTGTAGACTATACCTGAAGTGAGCCGGACCCGAGAGGAAAGGAAATATTTGTAATGGTTTGGCGAACAAAGGCATGTCATCAGGAGAAAGAGAGAGAGAGAGAGAGAGACCCTTTGTCCTGAGAGTTTATTAAAAAACCATGTGGGAGAGAGAGAGGTGGGTAGTTTGGTTTGATTTCAATTCAATTCCACAAATTAAATTAATGTTGGTAAATGAGTGACATGTTTTCCGTTATAAGCCTCTGCTATTAGCGTTGTTTAGTCCTTTATATTATTAGACATCAATCCATTTTTATCAAATGTTAAGAAAACAATATTCAGGTTTGCAAATAATGTGTATAATGTGCAGAGGATTCATGGAAATATGTAACCACAAGTTATAAACTACGCATATTTTCACATTTTATTACCGAAATAATGCATGCAAATCATGGGCCTAAAGCAATACAAGATTGCTAATTTAGAAGGAGTATTATAGTATGATTCGTTAGATATGCCGACTGCCGCAGTCTGCCCACAATGAAATAGAGATAAGGCACAATAAGCCATAATTTACAACATTCTGGCAAATTTAACAGTGACATTTAGATGCAAAACGTTCTTTTCTCCTCCCTCCCCCCTTTTCCATCTCTGTCTCTCCCCTTTCCCTCTCTGTCTCTCTCTCCCTCTCTCTCGCTGTCTGCTCTTTCCCTGTCTGTCTCTCTCCTCTTTCCCTCTCTCTCGCTCTCTCCTCTTTCCCTCTGTCTCTCTCTCCTCTTTCCCTCTCTCTCGCTCTCTCCTCTTTCCCTCTCTGTCTCTCTCTCGCTCTCCCCTCTTTCCTCTCTCCTCTTTCCTCTCTGTCTCTCTCTCTCTCTCCTCTCTCTGTCTCTCTCCTCTCCCTCTCTCTCTCTCTCTCTCTCTTTCCCTCTCTCCTCTTTCCCTCTCTCTCTCTCCTCTCCCTCTCTCCTCTCCTCTCTCCTCTCTCCCTCTCTCCTCTCTCTCCTCCTCTCTCTGCTCTCCTCTCTCTCTCTCTCCTCTCTCTCTCCTCCTCTCTCTCCCTCTTTCCCTCTCTGTCCTCTCTCTCGCTCTCTCCTCTTTCCCTCTCTCCTCTCTCTGTCTCTCTCTCTCTCTCCCCTCTTTCTCTCTCCCTCAGCTCTCTCCTCTTTCCCTCTCTCTGTCTCCTCTCCTCTCTCCTCTTTCCCTCTCTCCATCTCCCTCTCTTCTCTCTCGCCTCTCTCTCTCTTTCCTCTCCCTCTCCTCCTCTCTCTCTCTCTCTCCCTCTCCCTCTCTCCTCTTTCCCTCTCTGTCTCTCTCTCTCTCTCTCTCTCTCCTCTCCCTCTCTCTCTCCTCTCTCTCTCTTTCCCTCTCTCTCTCTCTCTCTCTCTCCCTCTCCTCTCTCTCTCTCCTCTTTCCCTCTCTCTCTCTTCCCTTTCTGTCACTCTCTCTTTCCCTCTCTCCTCTTTTCCACTCTGCCTCTCTCTCGCTCCCTCTATCTCTAGCTCTCTCCCTCGCGCTCTCTCTCTCCCATAGACACATACTCAAGGAAGTAAAGGTCTGGACGCCTAACTTGTGGCAGTCAGTGAGCCACGTGACAGTATCATGTGCAGGTTCACGTGGCGAGACACTGGACTTAAAAATAGAAGACGACGCTTCCTGTTCCTAACTCTCTCGCGGTCCTTGTTTGATAATGACATAACTTAATTACTTAATCAATTATGTTTATAGAAATAAAGTTACGTGCGTCGTAGAACTCGGTGACACTGGTGCACATGCACTCCAGAACTCACTTCCGCATTGCTACATGCCTGTATGCATACGTTAAACATACATAACGTTTGAAAATTATCGTCAATAAAGTCACGTGCATCAGCACTCAGCAATATTCCAGCTATATGGCGGCGGTCTGTAAATAATCGAGTCTGGACCAGACAATACAGTGATCAACAGCATGAGCATCGATCTGCGCAATTGGGAACCGATGACATGTGTCAACCAAGTCAGCGAGCCTGACCACCCGATCCCGTTAGTCGCCTCTTACGACAAGCATGGGTTACTGAAGATCAATATTCTAACCCGGACCTTCACGGGTATTGACGTAAGTGATGGATGAAGGAAAAATACAGCATCACTCCTATACGTTATGTACATATTGTCTAAAGTGTTTAAAACTAAGAGTATCTTTAACACTTTACATTTATATATGAAACATTTAGCTAACAATAATAATAGATAAAAATATTATCAGTAAACATATATTTGTTTTCATTCCAAACACAATAACTTGTAGATCAAGGTTCATGTTGTGAACATTCACACTTTTTGCTGTTAATCATTGCATGTTTTATTGTTCATCAGTCATACCTTTTTTATTAAAGTTTGTCGATTGGCAACAGCATAATTTTTGTAGATATTTCAAACCACAAAGTTACAGAGAGAATGCATATATATATTGCTTGGATGAAAGGAAACAGATTCTTCAGATATAGCTAATATTATAAGTCTTAATTGTGTCTTCACAGTAGCAACGTTTTATGTTTACAAGTGCAATATGTCAAATACTATTCCAACACTCAAAGCTTTAAAGGGCAATTTGTCAAACAGTTAGAAGTAATAAATCGTAGTTCTTATAAATAACCACTTTTGACTTTATGTTACAGTAAACAATCGATAAGCTTGTATTCAATGTATGTCGAATGAAGCTATGTCTGAAAATGACCGTGGTGCCCCGACCACGTGGCATATGAAGGTCGACATGTAACAATCGTGGTCTTATATACGTGTTAATAAAGAACGAGAAAAACAAAAACAAAAAACACAAAAAACCCCAACAAACAAAATCAGTGAAACATTTTTCATTCAGTAGTTTTAGAAAACATTGTCAAAAGGCTTGAACACGTTTACAATCCCCACATAGATGTGTTATTGTCTCAACTTTACATTGGCAAAAAGTACATAAATTGCTTTCAGCTAATTTCATCTTGAATAGCAAAGAATTGGTTATCGGTTGATAGTATACCATGTATAATCCTAACTGGAACCATCGCAGTTTGGTATCCATTGAACATGTAATTAGTCTTGACAATGTTGAACCCCACAAATGCATTGTAATTGTTTGAACATTATATGAGTGATTTGGGAGTGAATGTGTTGTAGTGTGTTGTAGTGTCTTTTCTTTTTTTAAAAGAAATTCCTGTATTCCAGTTTTCAAACTCACCTCCATAACGATTTTGTATAAGACTTTACAGTCCCCTGGCTGTATCGCCTTATTCGTAAGAGGGAGTCAGGAAATAACAATTTACAATTATAAAAATACAATTTAAAAATTACAAAGTATTCTCTGGGGATTGTTTTCTGTCATATAACATCATTAACATCGCTTATAGAATGACGTCAGAACTATTTAGGCTGAACTTTAACAAATGGGCTATATTTAAAGTCTACATGCTATCGCTATGACATATACATCCCATTTGTGTAACATACTGATAAGTATTATTGGGCAATATTTACCTAAGAGACGACGTAAACAGGGAAATGGGGAGATAGGAGGAAGCTCACAGAAGGCGTCACGAGGGACAACAAAGCTCCCGGCGTTCATGACGGCGGAGGGGTGCGGGGTGTTCCCCCTGTGTCCGCTCTGTGTCCGGGACTTCGGAGAAAAGCGGATGTGCTGTATGCGTAGTAGTCTATACAGGTCCAAAACACACTGAATGATCAGTTGAATACTATTTGGACATCGGGGTGCTGAAAAACATCCATTTATATTTCAATCAATAAATATGTCGTGACCACATTATAAGTATTGAGGTCATGTATTTTTCTTCGAATATGATAAGGGACACACACACGCACGCACGCGCGCACACACATGTATTGTCAGTATACATACGCTGTGACCAGATACACACACGCGCGCGCGCACGCACACACCGATGTCCCAATACTAGTCTTTCTCACAGTCCCTGAACCGCAATATTTTCCTTACTGCCTTAACCTCCCTACAATGCTACAGCCCTAAATGAAGCAAGTCTAGATTTCCTCTGAATCTCCCATCTCACTGGGGCTCCTTTTCAGTTTAAAGGGTTTATTTCCTACTATCAAACATAAATATATTCAGAGACTAACCGTTAGTCTATCCCAATACTAAGGCCGTGTTGATATGGCTGTTTTTTCCCACTCCTACTGGCGACATCCACAAAGAGTGGTGTTTATTGGTTTATACTAACAGGGACATCTAATTGAGGATTGGCGGATTCAAACATGGCGGAAACAATATACGATTGATGCAGGAACAGAATAAATAAACATACCTTTTTCCAGAATCAGTGATGGAAGTCATCAATTTTTTTAATCACTTTATTTCTTTTGATCTGGGTACAGCATTTCATATACGTTTAACAGGTCGGCATAATTGTTGCATTACATAGCACGTCAAATTACAGTCATTATCTATGTAAATAGATTGTGGCAAGACGACCAAAATGAAACAAAAATGTCACATTTGCAGAGAGAGTAGGCATTACATTTATGTAATTGGTAATTGTAATTTAATTTTGGTTTCAGACCGGCGAGATAAGGTACAATGTTTGCTACTTATCTAGAATATATGTACTCAGTATTTAATATGAAAAATCATCAATTTCATGCAGAAAACTTTAAATATATAGATGTTCAGACACTTCCAGAAGCCTTTTATAAAAAGAAGTTAAATAAAACTGGAATCTTCGAAATTATCATCGTTTAGCTGTTATGACACATACTAGTAAACTGCAGTTATAACTTCTTTAATCAAGACTTGGGAAACACTTGATTACGTTTCGTGGAAAATATGACGTCATGTATGGAATACAATGTACATTTGCGATGCGTTGAAGATAAGTCCATCATGAATTTTAAAATGAACTTGTCGCATCCAAATATTTACAGGCAAACACATGAAACAACGCAAGCCTTAGTGCGATACTGGTGAACGTTTTTTACTAGGATATTGACAATCTTCACATTGTTTTAGTCGGGGAATTAAACTCATGACGAGCATTATTTAACCACTAGGCTAAAAAAATAAAAAACACACATATGCGCAGGTAATATACATTTGTATATTTCCATGGTGGGGTGTAGTCAAGACAACATAGAACACATTCTTGTGAACATACCATATACATTAAATTTAGTCATTAAAATTTGACAAAAGGTTTAATGTCTTGTAATATAAAAACGCACAGCGCGTATGATATCATTATGTTTGGCATAGGGCAAGCTTAAAGCACCATTGTGTTCTAAAACATGGTTCAAAGGACTGAAACTTGCAGATGTTTATAGCAGGCAAAATGAAATAATTTTATTGTCAAGTAATTGGTAATAGCTGAGTCGTATAACGGAAAACTTATCACTCATATATTAACATTTACGCTCTGTAATTTCCTTTCATGGAGGCATATTTTACGTTATCACACGTTATTCGTTAAATTGGAAATGCACACATCCTACCCCGCCCCCAGTTTATTCAAATGTTTGACAATTACTAATATTTATGCAACATAATCATTACACTTTCCTTCGGGTCCGGCTCCCGTCAGGTCATAACGCGCCAACATATCGGACAGTTGACATGCGCATAGCATGTCGGATGGCGTGGGAGAAGATATATATTAATTGGGTTACTTCTATATAAATGGAAAGGCATGCGATAACTCCCTAAAAGGGTGCGGGCCACAAATAGACGACGAGCTATGAGCCGTGTGACCAGAGACAAGAGTGACCTGATAATATTTCCTGGTCTTGCAGCAAAGTTAATAATATCTGGCAAAAACTTGAAATCTGGCTTAATCGGAAAACTCATCTCAATATTCAAATAACAAAAAGACAAGTATTACTTGGTTTTCCAGACAAAAACAATGACCCTCTTAATATTATAATCATCATCATTTATAAACCTTATTTTGGAATCAGTTTCAGAAACAGTGGGCCACCTTTTCATGTTTTCCAGAATGAACTAAGACACTAGTATATTATAACTAAGTGTTCTTCTCTGGAGTGCGACCGCCTCCGTGGTGTAGTGGTTAGAGCGTCCGCCCGGAGAGCGGAAGGTCGCGGGTTCGATCCCCGACCGCGTCATACCAAAACACGTTAAAATATGGTACTTGTTGGTCCCTGCCTGGCGCTCGGCATTAATGGGTACAACGAGGACAGGTCGGCTTGGAGTCAGTATAATGTGTCTGATTGGGGTATTCATGCTTCACTGCGGCATGGTATCTCAGTGGGCTAGCACTACAAAACCAGCTTAAGTCTGGTACAACAACTTAACTTGTACAAGCAGCCGCCCATACACATACACACGCATGCACGTCGTCATATGAGCGAAACATTCTCAAGCACGACGTGAAACCCAATTTCACCTCACCTCACCTCTCTGATGGAGTGCAATATCAGCGCCTTTGGTCTTCATGGCATGGATTGGCTATATAATTTGTAAATCGTGTTTGTACAATTGTAACCTGAATGCCCTTCGTTGATTTTTTGAAAAGTCTGTTAAATGTTCTTTGAAGACAATTTAAAAAATTCAATAAAGAAAAGAAAAAAAGTGCGATCTACTTTATCATAAAAGAAAAATACCCAGTAGACTGACAGTATGCATGTGTTCTCTGAAGGACATATAAAAGTGATGGACATGATTTTCTATTAATTTCTATATTCGTTCAAAAGGATTTGTTTGGAGTATATAGTCCGGTTGGCTCAAAAGCGGACCGATGGATTGCAATCTAACTCGAAAACTAATAAACATAAAATACTCAATGAAACGCTGATCATAATCAAAACATCATACCCACTCTGTGAGGTTTTTGCAGAATTTTTGTCCTAAAAATAAAAAAGTTGTTTAACAATCTATCATTAAAATATTGACACAGTTCACTATTTGTTACGAGGGAGGAGTGCAGAGAAAGGGAAAGTGAAGAATCCTGGATCCGGCGTTACATGACATGCGTTAAGCGATTAAAATGTAATTGACAGGAGTCAACCGAGGTTAAAATATTTCTATCAACCAGGGTTGACTGAGTTCAATCAGAGTTAACCTTTGTCAATCATAGAGAACCCATGACGATGCCTTAAATAAAACGCACAAAATGCAACTTTGATACAATGCACGAAGCAGGTGAAGGGCACATGAACTATAATCAAAGTACACAAACCACTAATTAGGTTTAAAGTAAGTTAAAAACAGAACGAATGAATGGATTTTAATTATTAGAGAAAAAATATTAAAATATATGTGTACGAAGGTTACATCCACCAACATATAGAGACGCGTATTTCAAGAAGTGTTTTATTGCTTGACAACGCTTCCACCGTGTCTATTCTGATTAAATCTGTGGAAATTAAGAAAAATAAATATAACGCTTAAAAGATCAAAACGAAAGTCGACATCATTTTCAAAGTTACACTTTTGATTCTCATGAGATCCAGATTCGACGTCGGGCCCGCGCTACGTCTCCGTTATTATATAACATTATCCACTTGTACATTTCCTTGTTCTAACCTGATGCAAAAATTCATTTTCTAAAGTCTATTTGTGGACGAGTTATACATGTTTGAAAATACATTTTCGCATGAGTTATACGTTTCTTTTTGGAATAGTATATATCAAACAATGACAGTAAAATTTCCTTGACACAGATGACATACACACTAACAATACCTTTTAACTGTCTTAATTAATATGCTTTTATTCGTGATTTAATCAAAATATGACATTCAATTCCTCACATAGGTACAACTCGTGAAGACAATTTCTAGTGTCTGTCAAACTCTGAAGACGCTTTCATAACTAGTGTACCCCATACTAGGGTTTTGGTAGGTATAGACAAAACAGGTTAACCGAGATGTGAAGCATATCAGTTAACATGAGTTGACAGTGATCAACCCTGGAAAGAGGGTGGTGGACAGCCTAGTGGCTAAAACGATCGCTTGTCAAGCCGAAAACTTGTGATCAGTTCAAGACTTTGGTACAATGTGTAAAGCTAATTTCTGGTGTCTCCTGCCGGGATATTGCTGGAATGCTAAAAGCGGCGTAAAACCTTACTCACTCACTTATTCTCTAAAGACGACGCTTGTCACTACTTGCACCTCTCTATAAATACAGCAGGAGGTAGGTATGTGATGCCGTGTCTGTGGCATGTAGCCACGTCCAGGTTGTAGCGAACAGGAAAATTCTGAAGTATTGTGATTTCCCAGGAATATGTGACCGCATCTTTCAAACTTTTTTAATCAGCGCGAGTCATGTGAAATCCTGTTCAAATCATATTCACGTAGGCCATGACGTTGTCAATATAAAATATATAGAAATAGTATTTTTCAAATGATTAACGAAAAAGCGATGTGACATAATCTCTATATTAATAATAATCGCTATCTATATCTTCACATCGTCGTTTCAGTTACAGTTCCAGAACCGCCTGTTTCTCCAGGAATACATTGCCTTTCTGACAAGTTTAATGTGTGAAGGGCTATAATTGGAGTCACTTCATGTTCTGATGTGTCCGCTATTATTAGCGTTGGTTTAGGGAACACGTGTTTTCAGGCATGTGATAAGAAATCGTTCCGAGAGAGCCAAAATTAGTATTGATCGTTTTCACTTGAACGTCTATTTTCCTTTTTTTAATTTCTTTTTTTGAATGTGCAAGTAATACCGCCCATTCATAAAATGAAAATTTAACAGCTGCGGATTTTGTAGTGAAAGGAATATTCGTTTAAACCGAGACGTTTGTGTTAGTCAATACGTCTATGAATCTTTTACTAGTATCCAATACCAATGTTTAACGCCGTGATGCCATATTAACGTTCGTTTGTCTATTATGTTATCGAGATATAATTTGCGAATACTGGAGAACAGAACAGAACTTTTATTACGCTCAGGCCGGGATACTCGGCATTAGAGGTACAAATATATAGTTAAGGGTACGTATGATGGCGGGATGTTTTAGAAAGGAGATTGTACAGTTTTCATGAAGGTATTACAAAATATAGATAACATTTTTGAAACACTAATTCGTTTACAGTGAAACAATTCGTTAAATTTTAACACATTGTGTTTTTTTAACATAATGGTTTGGGATTTAAGTTTTCCGATGGTGTTTGAAGAAAGGGCTGGAAAAAAATGTAGTGAAATTCATCGCCAACATCAAACATGTCGCAGTGGTTAGACATTCAAGTTTCTTCGGGTGGAATTGTGTGCCGCCTACCTACTCCTATATAGGTGAACGATATTTATATGATATAACATATTTTATTTTGACTTGTACCATATTTCAACATATTTTTTCAGGTGGACAATTGACTTGCCCTTGCATGTGTTGATGATAAGTGTGACCAGTACCTAATAGTAATCGTGATGCCATATAGCTAAACGTTCGTTTATATATAATATTATCGAGATATAATCTGCAAATAATGGAGATCAACGTGTAGGTTTCATAACGATCTGTGGATTTGTACGACAATAAAATATGCGTAAATAGACAACAATTGAATTAAATTGCTGAATTTCATGTAGTATATGGTCCACGATGCTTTCCCTGACTTGAATAATTAATTCAGTTCGTTCTCGGCTGCCCCGTAAAGCTGATTTACTTCTGGTAAACACGTGACGCCAGCCGGACCTGCATGAACGGGGAATGCCCCGTTGAGAGTTCTTGGAAAGGTGAGGCCAGATCCTGCCCGCGCAGTCCGGTCGACGAATCCGGTACCACGTGACGCGCCGTGTTATATAAACCGGAGCGAGCCGGGTTGGACACACACTTACCTCAACACCTGGCTTATCCTCGATACACTTGGAAAACTTACAGGTTTGTTAAAATTTCATTATTGTCTTGTACACGCATAATACTTCACTGCGTTTATTTCTAAATATGATAATTATTATGTTGATTACGGCAGGAATAAATCTTAATTATACAACAATTTGAACGTAAGTTTGGGAAAGATTGAAGAAACGACTGGTGGAAACGAAAATAATAGCTTAATATCTTAATAAGTCTTATTCGGATTTGAAACTTCGTTTTCTTAATTCTACTAAGAACGGAACTTGCAAATACCCTATTGGGGATATGCTGGGTAAAATCTCCATATATTGCTGCTATTTGTATAAATCGGGAACCGCAATTGAAAATATCAACATTTGTCTTAAATATATTTTTTTACGAATTATCTTTTTTGTGTGAATTAGCTTAGGATGAAATAAACTTTGAAAAGATTGTTTAACAGATTTAAGTGTAAACGCATATTTAGTTTTCAGAAACTATTTCTTCCAAAATTATTTAGACATTGTGGAGAGTTTACTTACATTTCTAAATATTCAAAAGCGTCAGTGGATCATTGAATACAGAAATGTAAGTGTCGGATAAACTATGTCATATAGAGTGGAAACGGGCCAAAGTATAAATACAGGCCAGTACCGTTTCATTTCGTTCTTTATAAATCTGTTGTTGTTTTAAAAAAAAATCAAATAAATCTGTTGAATTCAAAGCAATACTAATGATAGGTAATTCGATAACACCAACTTGATGTAAGAATACAGGTACGCACGTTATACGTACATGTTGGCTCTGTTTTGAATACATATCTCGTCTCCTATGTTTACATATATTATAATTTTTAGTCTGAATCTGATTTAGAAAGATTTAATGCATTGCTTGTATATTATATCTTTCAGTTTCACTACAAATTGGACAAACATGCGGAGACTATTAGGCAGTGTGATTCTAACACTGCTCGTTGGCTTGTCCGCGGCCCAGAACGAGGTAAGTTGTCACAGTTGAATTTACGCAATATTTATTAACACGTTGAGCTGATAAATAAAACTTTTAAAACAAATTTATTTGGGGGACTGTATTTTGTCATTATGGGATTTCTGATTAATTACCATGCATTTGTGGTATTTTCATGAACGATTTCTTTGTCGTTTGTTCTGAGTCATTGCGCACACTCCACAGTGGCCTCTGTTTAGACAAATCGTTGTGCATTACATTGTACAAACTCAATCTCCGACGAGAGCGCAAATAACTGCTCATAAACCGTCGCATTGTGTAAGTAGGGAAGTCATTACTGGTGATTTTTATCGTCCCAATTTTAAAAGGAAATTAATTAAAATTTGAGAGAAATTTACAGAGAAGTGTGTATATAACAAACAAACCACACTGAGAGCTCAGCGAATGCTACGTTCATATTATATGTGCAGATTAACGAGCGCATTGAAACTACTCGTACAACCAACGTGTCAGTGAATGTTAACGATTTCATCTATCTTAAACATTGGCAGATTTACACATAATTATAAAGTTTGTGTTCTTTTACATAGTACACGTGTGTGTGATATAACGAAAATGATTTCTGTTTTATCAAAACATGAATAGTTGTGTTTAATCGGATAAAATTTGAAAATCCTGGATCACGATTTCTCCTGATCTGAGTTTTGACAAGTCAGATTTACAACCCCTGCAATTATTCGGTTATATACACCTATATACTATATATAACGGAAACGAATTTCGCTTTATGGAAACATCAATATTTACTGGTATTCGAAAGAACATTATTGTTAATACTTGACTGCGAAGAAGAAACGTATTGCTCAGCGTTGTCATGTATAGTAACTGATATAGATGATGATGATGATGATGATGATGATGATGATGAATGAGTGGGTGGATTTAGTTTTAAGCCGCTTTTAGCAATATTCCAGCAATATCACAGCGGGGGACACCAGAAATGGGCTTCACACATTGTACCCATGTGGGGAATCGAACCCGGGTCTTTGGCGTGACGAGCGAACGCTTTAACCACTAGGCTACCCCACCGCCCCTGAAGATGATGATGATGATTGTGATGATGGCGCTAGAAGTTAACTGTTCAAAGATGTACATCTAATCAAAACGGACGTCTGATGCAACCATTGTTGTAGTGAAAGTTCACTCAACGCGTTAACCTTCTTATTAACAGAGCAATCCAAATGGACCAGACACGAGACTGGCCCTAGCGGCCCTCATCATTGGAATCATTGCATGTGTGGGGATACTCTTCCTGGGATCGGCTCTAGCATGCTACATGAGGAGAATACAGGTAAATATTTCCACATTTATTGTCTGTGAACACGTATTCAGAGCGGGATCCGGGAGTTTGTAAAGTGTGTGTGTAAGCTGTGTGTCGCTTGGTGCACTGAACACCCGAGAAACGAATTGGTTTGGCAGAGGGCTCTGCTAACATGCCAGATTTCTGAAAGATATATTTCCTTGAAATGATGGATGAATATATCCGAGTTTCAACCCTTTTCTTCTCTCTGAATACACAATGGGTTTTTTAAAAAGTGGTCAAATGTAACACATTATATTTGTAATTACACGTTCTCAGTAAAGTACAGATTCTAGTACTTTTTAAGTTGAGTCCTCGGGCTTCGAACCCACACCATGTTAATTTAGAATCAGGCACCTACTCGCCAGCACACAAAGTCAGCCATCTTACCTACTCAGCCATCGCGGCTTCCACGAAAGATGGAAGTGTGACTGTGTACCTCCGACAAATGTAAACCGCCACGGCTGTGAATACGTAATGCCTTTCCTAATTCTGCTCGTAAACACACTCACAAAAGTACGACGCCACTGTATAACTTCCGTAACAAACCCATCATACATCTACTCACGCAATGCGCCTTACAAGCCATGCAGTGAGTGTGTGCTATCCCGGAAATACTTGAACATCAACAAGCATGTCACCTGTCACAACAATCACCTGTATTGTTTATTTCAGCATGACGGATATGGACAACACAGCAACTTCGGAAACTCCGTGTCCGGTAAGTCATTCCCTCGATATAACGCTCTCTACTTTACCGGTTGTACATCCGGGTTCCTCATACTTACCGAGGCCGGACCTTCAAGCGCCGAGTATTACGTAACCGAATATCCAAAGGCGCGGCCTTCTGACTGGTCAAAAGTTTAAATGTGCAACTAAAAATGTATCGTAAACTATAGATTTAAAGATGCTTTTATGTGCATTACAAGTTGCCTGCTTTTTTAAAAATTGGGCGTTGGGCCCGTGTTCTGGATTGTAAATAGTATACATGAGGGCTATTATTATAAATTGTAGATAGCATTGTGATATTGGATTGTGTTCACGAAATCTTGCTTTTGAGTGTGACTTTGTGTTAATGACTGATTTGTGTTCATATGCAAATTTGATCTTGACGCTTTATGGCTAAAATACTGTCAGAACGAATAAAACTCTAGTCTAACGCTTAGTCTCTGAATGTATATAGTTTTGATAAAATAAACCGTTTAGATTTTAAAGGAGCCCCAGTCAGGTGGGAAACTGAACTTGAGGAAATCTAGACTTGCTTCATTTAGGGCTTTAGCATTGTAGGGAGCTCTGGGCAGTAGGGAATATGATATGGTTCAGGGACTGTGAGAGAGACTAACAAAAATAACACTTTCAAAATTAAAAATTTGTTTATTATATTGAGGTAAATTAGTTTAAATTTAAACATTAATTTTACAACACAACATATGAAAGAAACATGGAAATATCGGTTTTGTGACTTTTTCTGGTAGCATGAATTGAATCGATTTTATTTTCGTGTCTGTGGTTTCAGATCGAATTGATTTGATGGAGAAAAATCCCCTGCCTGCAGCTGAAGTTAACGATGATGCACGTGGACAGTCAACAATCCCGGTGAGTACATCTCGTCATTAGTTAGTGAGTGAGTTGGGTTTAACACCGTTTTGGATAGCGTTCTACTTTTTTCAAGGCGTGTCTGCTTAATTTGGGAGGAAATCCCGAAGTAATGTAAATCTGAGTCGTTTAAACACACGGTTACCGTGCAGACAAACATGGAAACACGATTTGTTTGTTGTTTTACACCGCACTCAGCAATATACCAGCTATATGGAGGAATATTCCAGCAATTTCACGCAAATCGCGAATAATGTCTATATAGCAGGTGTGGAGGTGAAACCTAGTGAAGGTTATATCCTCATAGATAGATAGGTGGATGGATGGATGGATGGATAGATAGATGGATATATGGATAGATAGATAGATAGATGGATGGATGGATACATAGATGGATGGATGGATGGATGGATAGATAGGTAGATAGATAGATAGATAGATAAGTGAATAAATAAATAAAGTACATGTGTTGTTTGTTTTCCGTTATGTTATATAAATCTCTGTTAAACAAATGTCATTGATTCCGGTATTTGATATGTGAGTATTTGTTTCCAGTGTGAGGAAGCCAACATGTGTCTTGGTGTGGGAACCCTACGCCAGATATCGCTGTCTCTCCTTCACGACATGCTGCTCAACCTGTACAACATCCACATCAAACTCGAGTGCCGGACGACACAGAAGTTCCAGTCTGACCGAGAACTGGCCATGACCACCGCTGCCGACAACGAGACCGTCACCAAACAACTCGGACAGACGCTTCAACTCATCTTTCCCGATGACTCTTCTAAGGCTGAAACCTTCATGGCTATTGGCGAGAAGATCCTGAAGGACAACACCGTGAGGCAACTTCTGGACTCGACCTTCCGAATCTGCCGCGTCTGTTTGGGCATCGTCCGAGAATGGGAGGCTGAGAGGGAGCTGTTTGTGGGCGTAGTCCCGACTGAAGGACCCGGCTACATCAACTTCAGCGTCGTCGATGACGTCAACAAGGTCAAGCTGACATGGGACGAGAACAAGTTCGAGAAAGACTTCATGAATACAACATGCAAGCTGGCTCAGGCGTTGAGAGATGAACGTCGTCAGCCCAACCCGGTGGAGTACCTTGCCTTCCAGTTGGCGTACCATTGTCTGGCTAAAGGGAAACAGGTCACCCTGAAGCCTCACAGGTCACTTGGCTCTCCAGGCTTCCGTCCTCACACTCAGACATACATGTCACTCACAGACCCCGGTGAGGGTCATGTGTTGGGCACCACCCGCTTCAACGAGTGGATGCAGGGCGCAATCATCCACGTGGAACATCTCGAGAGACCGAAGCATCTCCCAAGGAAGAATATCGAGTCGTACAGAATATCTTCTCTCTTCAACTTCTCCAAAGTCCGTCTTCACGTTGGCCAGGCAGCCCCCACCACCTACTTTGTCGGCAGAGCCATGAAAGACTCATCGTCTGGCAAATTTGAAGAGGATTTCCTTAAAGTTGTTCACATGACGTCTGCTACCATCTCTGCAGCTTTCTACCAGGGTGGAGCCGAGTGCAAGGTAGCCATGGAGGGACTGACAACAAGCCAAGCCCTGCGATACATGAGAGCTCTGAAGGCCCAGGTCAACCGCGATCGCTTCAACCAATACTTGTCCGCAGCATGGAATCTCAACCAGGTCATCGTCGACGACTTTGAACGGGAACAAGCAATTGAACTGAAGACCAGGAAAGAGATTGCCCTAAGAGCTATTGAGATCACTTCACTTGGAGGCTTTGATAAGGTGACACTGGACGGGGCAAGTGACACCTACCCATCCAAATGTATCATGTACCAGATGGGATTTGAAGAAGCTCTCGCCTTCAACCATGAGGCCCATATGCGCGGCCTGGTCACATACTTCTCTGCTGGCTTTAAGTTCGACGAAATCAAACACGCCGTGTATGCCGGAGTGGACGGTATCGGTATAGGGGGAGCTCAGGTGTTGAGGTACATGGACAGTGACAGTGGCATGCACGGACCTTACACGGAGGAGAACATCCCGCGGATCCTGCAGAGCAGAGACACTGCTGCAAAGTCTGTCCGTGGAAGAGGCGTGCACCTCCTAGTCAGACTGGACACCATGTTCTTTGAGGGAACCATATCTAGTGTGGAGAACGGCATGAGGGAGCAGCTATTCAACGCTCTGCTCCAACAGAATGAGGAGGAAGTCAGATCTATTGTGACAAAGCTGGACTATATCATGAACATCCCATGCGAATTTGGTCTCCCACTTGCTGGTCAAGCCAAACGGCTGACTGTGGCAGAGACGCCTCTCCTCAAAGAATGCGCAGAGTCAACATACGAGTGGGCCTTATTCATCTCCAGACTGCGGACGCAGGTCAGCAAGATGGATGAGGCTACCCTGGTGGAGGAGTATGACGGGGAGCCGTGGCACACATACAGAAAGAAGTACAGGGACAATCTTCAGAGGGAGCTTCTGAAGGGTTATACCAGACAGGTGTCGTTCCAAGTGCAATACAAGACAACAATGTGAAATACTCCTGGTTCAAAGCATCGTCTGTGATCTTTAATGTTCTTGTCTAGAGACAAGACAGCACCGAAGCAGTGATGAGTCATGTGGCTTCTTACAACTTGATGGCTCAAAGCCATATTCTTCCACTGTCATCTATCACAAACTTTCATTGCATATCTCAAATATTTCTCTCAGGTAAACATAAAATGTTTGACTTAATCATGTCACACTTCTCAGTATAGGCAGACCTAGATCTTGTTCTACAACTGGACCGCCCCACAAAACATCCTTGGGGATGTTTCTTTTCGAGCATGATAGCTTTGTCACTAAGGACAAGAACACTTATTCTGGATAGTGACATAATACTTCCGATATTAATCCTTAGTTTGCGCAAAAGGGATTTGCTAAGAGAATAATGCATCACACTTCAAATTACGTAAATGTATACGTAATCACTAACGTCACGCACAAAACAGCTGAAAACAATGTTTGCACTGGGTACTGTACATATTGCCCAATAGCCAAAGTTGACCCCTGGTGCCAAGGAACCACCACCTTGAAGAGTTTTATCCCTTAATATACCAGGATCTGCTTAACATGTTTCGAATCCCATATTAAACCAGTTCAAGATCCTAGATTTGTATCAGGCTTGATTCCATATACAATTTGATTGGTGCTATTAAACAGCTTCTGCGACACATACACAATGAAGTGGTGTTACATACCATTTTATCAAATACCTAGAAATGATATAAGGCATTTTGAATGTTCCATAGGGTCAGCATAGGGTGTATAACCACACCTGTATTACACCCATTGACATTCCCGGGTTGATATGGCATGTCAGTGTATTTTGAATTTGTTATCAATATCTGCTCCAATGGTAAGAAATTGGAGTTATGTCCCTTGGTGTGTCGTCTGTTGGACTAGCTTTCCCTTGACGTTTTCTAATAAGGGGCAATTGTATTCATTTTGTACATACAGAAAACTTTTCTCAATTTGATATTATGATATATGATATAAAGTTGTTTTTATATGTGCCAGTTTTTATATTTCACATTGTTTCAGCCCCATGGCCCTTGGTTCATCGGGGGTATGATGCCAAACTACCATTGAATTGTATTTATAAAATGACTGTGGATCAAATGTTCAAATGTGACCATTTAAGCATTAACTGGTGTGCAGTTCAATGGCTGGTATACGCAATATTATCAACTGAATTTTTCTATTATTTGTTGACTGTAGACAGACTATATCACTGGATGATGATGATGATGATGATGGCAAGTTTTGGTATGAATGTTTGTTTTGTTTTGTTTAATTGTATCACTTTTATCCCCTGAGTCTGTACATATCAACAACTGAACAAAATAAAAAGTTATAAAAGATCAAAATGTTTTTGAGATATATCTTTATACAGTTGCAGATAAAACATACATACTTTCCAAATGGATTTAAGGAACACAATGTATTATCTTCAGAGCAGACAGTTGAAAGGCATAGTTCAACCCTTACATGTTTATTGAAAGAAAACACAAGGGTACTTCTGTTTTTGTTGTTGTTGTTTGTTAAACAAACAATCATAGTTTTAAATTGCTATTGTTGGTTTGTATTACAAGGGGGTATGCGCAGTAGTTGGAAAAGTGAAACAAATGCATGTGAGATGCGTGATGAGCGCTAACTTAGACTACCGTAGAAACCAACCCTTCTTGTTCTCTGGTTTCATTTAATGTGCATACCCCCTTGTAATACAAACCAATAACAGTGATTTGAAACTATGATCGTTTGTTAAACAACTTTTATCCTAAGTTGAATAAAATTCTGAGATTTTAATGATCAATTGGCAAAGTAAAGTTATGGGGATTTGCAGGCTTAATTTCACTTTATTTGATTTACTTTTTTTGTTTAAAGTGAAATTCATCGGTACGTTTTCACTGCAAACAGACTATACAAGCATGGGCTGCTGAAGGCCAAATCTAACCCAGATCTTCACGGGTTAACACTTCATACTACTGAAGGTAACAGATCTTTGGATAAGTAAATACAAGAAGAAAAGGTCCGAGGAATTTTATTCCTGCTATATAACATAATATAATACAATATAATATGGCACAAAATATTGTCATGAGAAGTAAATTAAAAGGCAGGTTAAGAAACATGTAAAATGATCCCACATAGTACAATCTGACAGCACCATATATCAATGATATGAAAACACTTTCAGCTACATCCTCCCCATGTTTGTGGAAGACGTGTCTCCTGGGTTGTGCATCCCCTATGACAAGAAACAAACTAGGGTGGATACCGTATACCACAGTATTAGTAGAACCGCGTTATTTTGCCTTAGATTCGGTATACCATAATGCAATCCAAAAATTTGGTATTTTTGGTTTTCGCACCATCATTTTATTAACCTTCATAAACCTTTTCTAAAAAGTCTAGAAATCGAATCATTTTGTCAAAATCTACCTGGGTTTGGCTCTTGTCAATTTTCTGCATTATGATCATACCTCATATACCGAACCAAACCAGACCGAACTGAAGGCCTAGTACCACAATGTGTACCATACCGTAGTAAGAGCGTACCGTTTCACTCCTAATAAAAACTCAGTTGAACTGTAGACCTTATGATTATAAGTCCATATAATATAATTGCTATAGACCAATACTGAAATTTCCTCAACATTCACCATAGCAAATTGAGTGAGTGAGTTAAGTTTAACACCGCTTTTAGCAATATTCCAGCAATATCACGACAGGGGACACCAGAAATGGGCTTCACACATTGTACCCATGTGGGGAATCGAACTTGGGTCTTCCGCGTGACGAGTAAACACTTTAACCACTAGGCTACTCCACTGCCCCCACAGCAAACTGATCTAGTGAGATGTGATGTAAATATTAACTCACTCACTGATCTGAGTTAGTGAGTGAGTTGGGTCTTATGCCACTATCATCAATATTCCTGCGATATCACTGTGCGTGACAGGGATGGAGCTTCATGTTTACGACAAGCCGATCAAATAAACGAGGAGTTGACTGTAGCTGATATGTTTCATATATCTTCTCTAAGTCATGATATATTTGCCAGCTGCATACATAAGTATACAGTTCATATTCTACAAAGGTTATAGCCCCAGCAGTTATAGCTGTTATAGACTGACTATAATAAATACGAAATATATCGTGGTAATGCTTTTTACATTAAATATCTTCACAACATTATTGCATAATCTGTCACCAACAGAGATGAATGTTTCAAGCCATTAGGGGTGCAACGATTCGGTTCGATTCTGACACCTTAGTTTCGATTTTTGATAACCATTAATACTATTTCGATTTGATATTTGAATGCCTATTCAAAATATTTCTACACAGCCAGAACGTAATTTTGACTCCAACTCCGGCATTTTCGAGCGCTGAAATTAGGTGAAACGTGATTGATTGATGCCGGGCTAATTATCCAACGAGAATTGTTGTTAGTAGACATCGCCAAGTTCACGCTAAAAGAGCCAACTCTGAGAATTAAATGAAATCTAATGCATTTACTTGTATGAAGAATCGAATCGAAAATGATCGAATTCGAGGTCTGGGTGAATCGTTGCAGCCCTACAAGCCATCTATATTTGCAAAGAATACAAACACAACAATGTTACAGTCAACCCACATAGCCAAGGTAACAATAAAAATGGTGTTTCCTGAAAAGGAAGGAAGTTTTAAAATCCCTCACTATACAACATGTTGCCAAATGTTTGGACCCAGTGCAAAGCAACAAAAACATCGAAAGCCATTTGAAACACAGAATAAATCTATGTTATTGATTACTAAATTAATCTTACTGACAGAAAGATTTTATAAGATGTTTTAAATCTAAAATATGGAAATATCTGTCAAAGTTTTGCTGATATTCATACAAAGTGAATACCAAACATACATTTCTCATTTATGCATGCATCAGGAGTAATTTGTGCTGGTAGAAAAAGTATGGCCAAAAAGTAATGGGCCTAGTTTTTCAAAGCGTTTTAAAACTGTCGACTATCTTAGCACTAAAAGAGCTTAAAAAATCTAGGCCCTGAAAAGGTAGGGGAAACCCTAAAACAAACTATCAAACTAACAAACACACAGTCAAACACACGAACATGAACTAAATGTGTAACATGGATTGTTGGGCTGTGAAAACAATGGGTTTCTGCAGTGTAGGAAAGATGTAGAAAATCTAGCCTGGCCACAGGACTGGCAGGTCAATTTTTTACCAGTCCTGCCAAAATCTAGCCTGTCCTCCAAATATAAATAAAACACCTTCGGCAGTAAATATTCAAAAAGGTTATAATCATTATATATATGTCATCGGTTTGCTAAAATTGACCCAACATGAGGACGGACTAGATATTTTTTTAACCCGTCCTCCACAAAATTCACCCGTCTCGGGGCTATCTTTCCTACACTGGTTTCTGTCATCACACTTATACAGCAAGTGAAAAGTGAAAAAATATGACGACACAGAAACCCCTTGCAACAACACCATTGGCCAACAGCAGACAGGCGAATTCACTTTGGCCACAGCCAGGTTTTTCCATGTATCGCCAAGCACCATTACAAGACTGTAGAACCGTTATCAGATGGTGTTATCAACACGTGACCTACGCAGATCCGACTGACGAGTCACAACTGCAGCAGGACAGATTCGTCACTTGAGAGACTCACCCTGACCACCTCTACAGCTACAGGGGGCCATACATGAGTGAGTGAGTATGTTTAGTTTTACGTCGCTTTTATCAATATTACAGCAATATCATGGCGGGGAACACCAGAAATGCTATACATGAAGTTTCAGCCAAGACTGTGAGGAACAATCTGCATGCTGAAGGTATTTGCCTGAGACGGCCAGATCGAGGTGGCATCCTGACAATGCCAGGCAGTTTTGGACTCTCATTGGGGCCATACAAGATATTGAGAACAGATGACCTTCACCTTGACATTCAATTGGTTCATGTGTGCCCATGATGAGCTGCGGTAAGTGAGCCAAATTTGAACAAAGTAAACAAGTGAAAACCAATTTCTCTTTTTTCAGTGAGTTAGTGAGTTTAGTTTTATGCCGCTTTTAGCAATATTCCAGCAGTATCACGGCAGGGGACATCAGAATGGGCTTCACACATTGTGGGGAATTGAACTCGAGCCTTCGGCATGCTGAGCGAACTCTTTAACCACTTGGCTACTCGACCGCCTCTTTTTACAGAGTATAAGTAGGCATTATTTCGGCTGTAGCAGTACCCATGCTAAAACCAAGGCCACTTTAACCATACACTGAACCAGGTCACTGTACTTATCTGGTAAATTGAACCCAATGTAAACCAATGCTCTACTGTGAGGAAACGAACTCAGAGATTACTGCACACACTGACAGTGACACACTAACACACACACATGCACGCAGACCTAAAAAAAAAGCCTCAACATATTTAGTCAGGAACTTTAAAAAAAAGTGGTCGATAGAAAGAGCACAATCTGATACTTTTGGTGTAGATCACAACGGACAAATCGAGTATTCTCTTCAGTGATTAACGTGTGGAAGTGTCTGGGTAAGGAATGTTTTTCTCACACAGCATATCGCCACGTTGACCTCCTAGATCTGATCAGGCCCTCCTGTCACGTGGTTTGCCTTTACTTCCTCCTCCCCTAGGTCAAAACAAAACACAATGATGATGAGTGAGTGAGTGAGTTGGGTTTTAAAACTTATGTACATGTACTCAAGTGCATGTGTTGTTTGTATTCCGTTATGTTATAGGAGTCTGTGCAAAGTGAGCAAGTTAGCAATACTTAAGCATTACCACGGCGGAGGACCCCAGAAATCTGCTTCATGCATTGTACCCATGTGGGGAATCGAGCCTGGACCCTTAGCATGACAAACAAACACTTTAACCACTAAACTACCCCTCCATCTCCACAATGACGACGAAAAACTGACTTCAATATTTCATCTTCCTGAAATCACAAACAATAGAAGTCCAGTTTCCATCCTCACATCCATGAATCTAATAAAAATTGCGTATTGAAAACAACACATGGTGAGTGAGTGAGTGAGTGAGTGAGTGAGTGAGTGAGTGAGTGAGTGAGTGAGTGAGTGAGTGAGTGAGTGAGTGAGTGAGTGAGTGAGTGAGTGAGTGAGTGAGTATGGTTTTATGCCGCTTTTAGCAATATTCCAGCAATATCACGGCAGGGGACACCAGAAATGGACTTCACACATTGTACCCATGTGGGGAAATCAAACCCAAGTCTTCGGCATGACGAAAGAACACTTTAACCTCCAGGATACCCTGCTACTTCAGCATGACAAGCGAACACTTTAACCTCCAGGATACCCCGCCACTTCAGCATGACAAACAAATGCTTTAACCTCCAGGATACCCTGCTACTTCAGCATGACAAGCGAACGCTTTAACCTCCAGGATACCCTGCTACTTCAGCATGACAAGCGAACACTTTAACCTCCAGGATACCCTGCTACTTCAGCATGACAAGCGAACGCTTTAACCTCCAGGATACCCTGCTACTTCAGCATGACAAGCGAACACTTTAACCTCCAGGATACCCCGCCACTTCAGCATGACAAGCGAACGCTTTAACCTCCAGGATACCCTGCCACTTCAGCATGAGCATGACAAGCCTCCAACGCACTTTAACCTCCAGGATACCCGCCACTTCAGCATGACAAGCGAACGCTTTAACCTCCAGGATACCCCGCTACTTCAGCATGACAAGCGAACGCTTTAACCTCCAGGATACCCCGCCACTTCAGCATGACAAGCGAACGCTTTAACCTCCAGGATACCCCGCCACTTCAGCATGACAAGCGAGCGCTTTAACCTCCAGGATACCCCGCTACTTCAGCATGACAAGCGAACGCTTTAACCTCCAGGATACCCCGCTACTTCAGCATGACAAGCGAAAGCTTTAACCTCCAGGATACCCCGCCACTTCAGCATGACAAGCGAACGCTTTAACCTCCAGGATACCCCGCCACTTCAGCATGACAAGCGAACGCTTTAACCTCCAGGATACCCCGCCACTTCAGCATGACAAGCGAACGCTTTAACCTCCAGGATACCCCGCCACTTCAGCATGACAAGCAAACGCTTTAACCTCCAGGATACTCCGCTACTTCAGCATGACAAGCGAACGCTTTAACCTCCAGGATACCCCACCACTTCAGCATGACAAGAGAACGCTTTAACCTCCAGGATACCCCGCTACTTCAGCATGACAAGCGAACGCTTTAACCTCCAGGATACCCCGCTACTTCAGCATGACAAGCGAACGCTTTAACCTCCAGGATACCCCGCTACTTCAGCATGACAAGTGAGCGCTTTAACCTCCAGGATACCCTGCAACTTCAGCATGACAAAGCAAACGCTTTAACCTCCAGGATACCCCGCTACTTCAGCATGACAAGTGAGCGCTTCAACCTCCAGGATACCCTGCTACTTCAGCATGACAAGCGTAATGACCGCGTTAACCTCCAGGATACCCCGCCACTTCAGCATGACAAGTGAGCGCTTCAACCTCCAGGATACCCTGCTACTTCAGCATGACAAGTGAGCGCTTTAACCTCCAGGATACCCCGCTACTTCAGCATGACAAGTGAGCGCTTCAACCTCCAGGATACCCCGCCACTTCAGCATGACAAGTGAGCGCTTCAACCTCCAGGATACCCTACTACTTCAGCATGACAAGCGAACGCTTTAACCTCCAGGATACCCTGCTACTTCAGCATGACAAGCGAACGCTTTAACCTCCAGGATACCCCGCTACTTCAGCATGACAAGTGAGCGCTTTAACCTCCAGGATACCCCACAACTTCAGCATGACAAGTGAGCGCTTTAACCTCCAGGATACCCTGCCGCTACTTCGCCAAATTTACGTCCTGTGACTTGGCATCAACATATCCAAATCGTTTCATGTTTTTATTACATTGATATAACCTAGTGGACACTCTCGTCTAGGGGAGACAACTGCCTGGGACGTCTCATCTGTGCTGGGTAGACCTACCAACTATGACATATCTGTCACTCTCTGGACTGTCTGTGTCCGTCTGATCTTCTTGTAGAGTTTTGTAGCCTGCTAGTCTTTGTGAATCAAGATGAAGCCATCTGAAACATTCAACATGTGAGTGAGTTTAGTTTTATGCCGCTTGTAGCAATATTCCAGCAATATCACATCTGGGAACACCACAAATGTGCTTCACAAATTGCACCTATGTGGGGAATCAATACCCATTATGCTACCCTACCACCCCTTATATACTACCCATCAAAAGTTTAGACTCATTAGTGTAAATGTAGCCACTTACTTCAGTTAACTGATCTAAACTAGATTTTGCTAATCCGTTTAAGGGTACTGTTTACACATGAACTGATGAATTGTAAAACAAATCCATAACGTTGGAAAGATTATTGTCATGAGTTCAATAAATGATGAAACTCAGTGAAAATTGGTGAATTCTTACCAAAACTTTACACCAAAACGCAGCTGTTTACATGCACGATACATGCACATGCTTTTCAGCAAATTGATGCATGATCCTAATGCAATTCATCTGCATAATGTTTGCTGTTGGTTCCCCCAAGTTAGTGGCGAAATTCATCTTCAATGTAACCACGTATATATACATAACATATAGCAAGTGCTGTAAGTGAGTCTAAACTTTTGATAGGTAGTATATATTCAACATGTAAAACCATGGGATGTTCTGTACACATTTTATGTTGTATTGGAGGAGCACACGATTTCACTTTAATTAATATGAACACTATTGAATGCCATTTTATTTAATATTTATACACTAGATTACGAAGTCCTGAAATGCAAAGAACGTTTTATCGCAAGACAGTGTAACAACAAGATTTACTTGCATAATTCAATATAGATTTGTTGACACTCTATTTCTGGAGACTGATCATGACGAGAAGATGATCAAAGGTTGGTGGTTCGGCTCATGTACAGAAGATACCATTTTGATACTGATTTTAGGGGTGAACTTTGGATCTCAGCTCTTTAAGATGGGCTTATCTGCGATCATATATCAATGATGTCGCAAAAACGATAATGGTGAGTGAGTGAGTGAGTGAGTTTAGTTTTACGCCGCTTTTAGCAATATTTCAGCAATATCACGGCGGGGAACACCAGAAATGGGCTTCACACATAGTACCCATGTGGGGAATCGAACCCGGGTCTTCGGGGTGACAAGCGAACGCTTTAACCACTAGGCTACCCCACTGCCCCCAAAAACGATAATGGTTATTACTGTGCATAAAATAGTGAAATCCTCTTAAATGAGGGTTTCAGTCAGTTTGTTGACCACTTACAGCATAAGGGCTACAGCAATGACAAACAGACCAGCGGCTAGCAGGAAACAAAAGCCTGGGAAGAAACCAAGAGATAATGGGTAGAGCTGATTGAAGAGGAGAGATGCCAACAAGCTTGCAATGCTCTCCACGGCAGCCACCAGCCCAAACAGTCGTCCTGGTAACAGAAAGATGAACATATTTCACAAGTTAGTTTGGCAGTTTAGAAGTTGGGAGGTATAAAGAAATAATTTTCTGGCTAAAATTGATATTTTATACTTATCCTGACTCATGCTCTTTTGCTTGTCTCATTCTTCTTGTGAATGATAGTGGAACACTTGAATCCCCTTTTGAAGATCCCTTAAAAAAAGCGGACGTAAAATCACTCACCCCATGAGTAGCCTCCCTTTGCCCTTGCCGCCCTTATTGGTCACCTGACCAGCCATGCTCGTCACTCTCTCCGTATATGAGCCCGACACCCAGATTACCGGGAAATCCAGAGGGTCCAGAGGGGAGGTTGGGAGGGCTGACCTCATGAGTCAGGATAAGTATAAAATATCAATTTTAGCCAGAAAATGACATAGTTATCCTTATTTTCGTCTCCTCGTCTTACTTCTTTGTAAGTAGACTTTTAATGCTCTGACTGGGCATAAGGATAGATCCTGGATATCCTGTGGCCCAAGGACTGTAGAGAGTGCTGGGATGTGGAACTGTCTGTCTGGTTGACCGGGCAGCTGGTTCTTTGCTATGAAATCCCATCTCAGTCCTAGATGTACGATGTTACGATGTGCATCAAATCGTATTCATTCAAAGCCCAGAGCATGTATCTCCGACATCCTTGCTGCTGTTGCCAAAGCGATCAGGAACAGAGTTTTGTGCGTTAAAAACTCGTAGGATGTCCTTTCTAGGGATTCGAAAGCGCAGTTGTAGTCTTCCTCTGCGAGTCATGTCTTTGAGGTGATGTGAGAAGACCGAGTAGGCTCTGCCAACTTCATAGTGGTAACGGAGAGAGTAGTGCTTGAGATACCATGGCTTGTATCTAGACCCAATGATCCTCTGAGACGACCATGCGACATCTTCCCAGAAATCTGCTCATATCCTATGTTGTAGGTAAGTAGACAGTGGAACCCTTGCCATGTCTGCAATGGAAGCGGAGCAATGTCCGGTTCTGGAATCATGACTGGAAGTTTATTTCTTCAATCTTCCGATAATATGTCAAGAAAATCTTGTGCATTCATGATTTCTACATTAACACTCGGCCTTGTCCGTAACCTCCCGGAGTTACCTAAGTGAACACGTGTATAGCAGGCTGAGTGGAAAATGCGCGAAGGATATCGACACGTAATACCGATGTAGGTAGACTGTCTCCCTGGCTGTTGTGATCGTTTCCTTCTTCACTGAAGATAATGCTTAATGCTGTTACTTGTAGACTGTAGTCATCGGTCTCAATGAAGCGCCGTAAAATAACCAATTGTGTTGAATACACAAAGGTTCTTGTAGAGTTGATTCTTCGCTACGATGACCGTGAAAAACGATGTCACGCTGAAGACTGCGACAATGCCAATGCTAGGCCAGTGATAACTTTCAATCTGTCCCCTTCCTCACAAGGGTCAAGCCTGCTGATGTTGGATCTGTCTAGCACGAAACAAGTACGTCTAGTAGTAGTTTAAGTTCCGCAATGGAAGTTGTTGATGATCTTGTAGTTCTCATCAATCTCTGGTGCCTTCATGAAGGGTTCCAAATGAAGTAGTGGGAATTTCCTAGCGTTGAACGTCGGGACATGTTGACTCTGGAACTTCGTAGCCTTACCAAGGCTGCGTTGAGATTCTCCTGTACTTGAGCTATCTGGTCGATAGGTGAAAGGTGAACGTATCAAATCATCATTAGATATCTTGTACGTGAGTGCTTCTGATCCACGTGAGTCCCTGCCTGCCAGAAGACTTTGGTTGGAATATGAATCTTCCCTTGAATCTTGAGACATATCCCTCTGCCTTCGTGAAGGTGTGGATTCTCTTCTCCGTGATGAGGAGTGCCTGCACGCAGGCTCACGACGAAGATCCGCGTCTAAGGGTGAAGATGATCCATGTGTCCGACTTCTGCGATACTCCGAAGAACGTCTAGTCCTGCTCCTGCGCGAAGGCTCCTTTGAAGGTCCTTCCGGCTGCTGCTGCTGCAGATGACGACGCATCTGAGAGTGATGAGGCTTCTTCCAGGGACCGCTGCACTTGCGAAGAACGTGTGCCGAAATGCTACCACCTCTTTAATCATCTCCCGCTAAAAGGAAATATTGTCTTCACAGTATACAGCATTACCAAAATTGTCAACTCAAGTTTGGAGAGTAGTGTATTTCCATCCAGATTCAAACATGCTGTAGTCAAACCTCTGCTAAAGAAACCTGATCTTGACTCTCAGAATCTTCAGAACTTTCGACCTGTCTCAAATTTATCCTTCATTTCCAAGATAATTGAGAAGGCCGTGCATGTCAGACTCAAAGACCATCTCTCTAAACATCTTCTGCTTGATGAATTCCAGTCAGCGTATCGGCAATACTATAGTATGAAGACTGCCTTACTGCAAGTGACGAATGAGCTTCGTTGTGCTCTCGACGATGGTAGGATTGCTGCTCTAGTGTTGTTGGACCTCTCTGCAGCCTTCGACACAATCGATCACCATAGGCTCTTGTCCAGGCTCACACAACAATACGGACTTGAAGGTCATGCCCTTCAATGGGTGATGTCTTATCTGTCTGACCGACAGCAATCTGTTGTTGTTGGCACTGAGAGATCAAAAGGCACTGTAATCACATGTGGGGTGCCACAGGGATCAGTCCTTGGTCCAGTCCTGTTTGTGTTGTATACCGGATATGTTGGAAGGATTACTACAGACCAACTCTTCCTTGACTCTGGATGCTCATGTTAACCGTCTGAGCAGGACCTGCTACTTTCATCTAAGATCCATTGGTAACATTCAGCAATACCTGACAACTGCTGCAACTCAAGCCCTTGTTCGAGCTCTTGTTACATCTAGGCTTGATTACTGTAACAGCATCCTTTCAGGCCTCAGTTCTAAACTCCTTGATAAGCTTCAGAAGATCCAAAATACTTCCGCCCGCATCATCAGCAAGACTTCTAAACGTTCCCATATAACACCAGTGTTGAAAGAACTGCATTGGCTACCAGTTAGGGCCAGAATTGACTTTAAGATCCTCTGTCTGACATACAAGTGCCTCCATGGTTTGGCTCCCTCCTACTTGTCTGAACTCCTACATCCGTATGTCCCCGCACGCAAACTGGCTCAAACACACAAAACCGACTGGTCATCCCATCCTACAAACTGAAATCAGCCGGGACACCGATCATTCTCTTACTCCGAGCCTGTGCTTTGGAACTCTCTCCCATGTGCCCTTAAAAGCTCTGCCACAATTGACATTTTTAAGTCCAGACTTAAAACCCACCTTTTCTCAGTATATTATGTGTAACTTCATCTGTAAATACTCCAGTGTAAATATTCTGTAGCGCTTTGAGCATGCCTTAGGGTGTGGAAGGGGCGCATTATAAATATGCATTTATTATTATTATTATTATTATTATTATTAAGAACTGCCGTCTCTGGTACCTGATGTCTGCGTTGATAGATCATCTGACTGAGCTGAGATGACTGCTGACGTCACTGTAGAAGAGGATCTCGCCTTAACTACTACTTCAGGAATGAGGGTGATTGGCTCGTCATACACGTCTACTTTGTCTAGGGGGATGATGTCTGCAGAGAAGGACCTCGTCTTCTGCGCTGCCCCATGGCAAGACTTCGCCGAAGTCTCATCTGCAGATGACTTCTTTTTCTGTGAAGACAATGCCCTGGTCTTCTTAGACTGCGTCGAGGTTACTTCCGACGTTGACGACCTCTTCCTGGAGCCGGAGCTCCCCTCTGCCACAGCAAAATGCTCCGTAGTAGCAACCGGCAATTCACTGGAATGGCGAATCTCAGCAGCCAGCAATAAACGGTTATCAGCGCATTCACTAGGTTAGACATGACTTGTAAATGCCGTCTAGACCTGTCCTTAGCACGTCTAAGGATGGAATAATTAATTATTAAATTCAATTTCAGATAAATGCTGATAAAGTTGGCAGCTAAAGCTGGAAGCATGTGGAAGTGCAATTAGGACATAATAGATGAGGATCAGCAGCAGACAACCGGTACCTGCAATGAATGCAAGTTTTTCATCAATTGTAAACAAGATGAAATATCACGTCAACAATGTGAATAAACAGATAATTAAGACAAAAATTGGATCCAGGCGCTCTCACAACCGTCCTCTAGGGTGAAGAAGGAGAGAATGACAAGCATGGCTGGTCAGGTGACCAATAAGAGCGCCAAAGGGCAAAGGGAGGCTACTTGTGGGGTGAGTGATTTTACGTCCGCTTTTTTTAAGGGAGCTTCAAAAGGGGATTCAAGTGTTCAAATATCATTCGCAAGAAGAAGGAGACAAGCAAAAGAGCATGAGTCAGGATAAGGAAAAATCTGACAAATTTATGGACAACAACTTCTTTTATTTTGTGAATGCAATGATTCTTACACTGTTGTCAACCAGGATAATGGTACAAGTACCCGTTTCAAAACATCCCATGTACAAAATAAAAGAGTGAGTGTGTGAGCTTAGTTTGACGCTGCACTCAGCAATATTCCAGCTATATGGCGGCGGTCTGTAAATAATCAAATCTGGACCAGACAATGCAGTGATCAACAGCATGAGCATCGATCTATGCAACTGGGATACAATGACATGTGTTAACCAAGTCAGTAAGCCTGACCACTTGATCTCGTTAGTCTCCTCTTACGACAGGCATGGGTTACTGAAGTAACAAAGAGAAGTTGTTATCCATACATTTGTCAGTTTCAGTAAGTATGCGTATACTGCAAGCTGGTCGAAGCCTTACCCTGTTCAGCCGATATACACATGATATAATCCGACCAATTCTGCTTAATATTTCTACATATGACTATGATCTAAGCCGTACCATTTTCAGTCTAGCTAACCGAATCACACATGACAGTGAGTGAGTTTGGTTTTACGCTGCTTTTAGCAATATTCCAGCAATATCATGGTGGGGAACACCAGAAATGGGCTTCGCATATTGTGCCCATGTGGAGAATTGAACCCTGGTCTTGGTGTGAGAAGCGAACCCTTTTAACCACTCGGCTACCTGAACACCCCTAGCATGACAGGGTTTAGCCTCGACCTGCAAACCTTTGGGTTGACAGGTACCGCACTTACTGATTTCAAGGATCCTGAACCAGTCAATCCAGTGATTAACATGATGAGCATCGATCTACATATTGGTCATTAGTCACCTCTTACGACAAGCATGGGTTACTGAAGACCAATTCTAATCCAGATCTTCAGAGGTCTGAAGTAATGAAATGGTTTAAAGTACCAACCATAGGATTAAATACTTATTTTGATTACTGGAACTACATATTCCTTGTAAGAATTTGGTACAATGAATATTATTGTGCATCCTTGGGATGCATTACATATTTTCTTCTGTATCCGTGGCAGAGGGTAGCCTAGTGGTTAAAGCATTTGCTTGTCACGCCGAAGAACCGGGTTCGATTCACCATATGGGTACAGTGTGTAAATCCCATTTCTGGTGTCCCCCGCAGTGATATTGCTGGAATATAGCTAAAAGCAGCATAAAACTAAACTTGCTCACTCACTCTGTCTTCTGCATCAGTTCCATACATTTGTTCATACCAAACACACATTTCTGCATCACGTAAAATCCTGAACACGATATAACCTTATCTACACTGTTTCGCCTTACTACATACCAGCATGATCTAAGACCTACCCTGTTCTCCTTGGCTGACCATACTGGACATGAGTGACCGAACAACAGTTGCTGGAAAGCCTTGAAACATGGCGAATATTACCACTGAAACAAAGAGCCATGGTTGTAGATTCCAACAGAGGGGATAGTGTTAGGTAGCAGAGCACCAGATAAGATTTAGCTCATGTGGGTACTGTACCCACTGTATTATTTTGGAAAGGGTATTATGAATGTTGAGTAGGTATTTCATTTTCCATTACCCACTGCTTTCAAATATATGCGTATTTCAGTCATTTTAGTCACCTAAGTATTATGTCATTGAGTAAGTTTACTAAGCAGGTATGTTCTGCCTTGTCATACCTAATCAAAACCAACTTAAATATAATGGAAATGATTTCATTAAAAAATCACTCATCCTATACCGACAGTACAACACTAGTCCTATACTAACAGTACAACTTGATAGCAATCAATGTCTTTTTTCATTACACAAGCAATTTTTATAAATATACTATCCCAATAAAGAAACGCATAGGAGATTCGTATTTTAAAAAATCTATTAATTACCTTTTGTGTTCAAACAATCGTCAAAATATGTAACTAAAGTGTTGATAACATGATTTTACACAATTGCACAAGTAAAAAATTGATTCTACTTGAAAATGTTGATTTTGATGAGATTTCTTACAAGGCTTAAAAAGGCATTGCCACAATGCAACAGAAATCATCTTCCAGTTGAAATTGTGCAGCAAAGAGCATGCACTGTCTGGCAATAAAAATCCAGATTACTTTCGGAAATTGGCATTCGTTTTCAAGGAGTTTCAAGGTCAAATCACTACGTCAGGTCTTGACTCTGCGACACGGAACATCGCCATTGAAAAAATGCATGCTTGAGATTACCAATCTTCTGTTGCCAGGCGTCTGAATGTTAGTCTGAGCACGATATCACGGCTTGCAGCTGGTTACAACCAAACAGGTATAACAAATGACCGTCCCCGTACCGGCAGACCTCGAGTCGCCACTGCAGCCCAAGATCGGTACATCCGGGTACTACATTTGCGTGATTGTACTGCCACGGGTGACAGCACAGCAGCCAGGGTGCCTGGACCGGAGAATATCTGGTCAAACTGTACGGAACAGGTTGAAAGAGATTGGTCTGAGAGCCAGGAGACCCGACGTCGGGACCGTGCTACATTGTCACCATCGCGCTCAACGTCTCCGTTATCTAAAAGTATCCACTTGGTTGTATAGACATTACCTTCTTCTAAACTGGTGTAAAAATTCATGCACTAAAGTCTATATGTTGATGAGTTATACATGTTTTAAAATGCAACATTTTCACAACAGATTTCTGGGCTATGCGATTCTTTTTTTGGATAGTATACATTCTGTACGCATTTGTTTTAAACTTTTTGCATATCTAACATTTTAAATGCGTAAGTGGTACGTAATAATTATTTTTCAATGCGTAATTGGAAATTTTCTATGCGTATTTTACCCGGATACGCAGCTTCATGGTTGTAGATTCCAATGAAGGACAAGGTGTTAGATAGGTGGTAATGGTTGTAGATTCCAATGAAGGACAAGGTGTTAGATAGGTGGTAATGGTTGTAGATTCCAATGAAGGACAAGGTGTTAGATAGGTGGTAATGGTTGTAGATTCCAATGAAGGACAAGGTGTTAGATAGGTGGTAATGGTTGTAGATTCCAATGAAGGACAAGGTGTAAGATAGGTGGTAATGGTTGTAGATTCCAATGAAGGACAAGGTGTTAGATAGGTGGTAATGGTTGTAGATTCCAATAAAGGACAAGGTGTTAGATAGGTGGTAATGGTTGTAGATTCCAATAGAACAGCATGGAGTTAGACAAGGACCCATGGTGGTTGACGAGGGACATGTTTTGGACAGTTAGCCATGGTTGTTTAATATATTCATTAAGGGAACTGACACCTGGTAAAGAAAAGTCTAATTACAGTTCAAGATAATAAACTGATCAGCAGTCTCCATAGTATATGGCTTTGTAAATGTTTACAGAATCAATTTATAACCAAACTGGAACAGAGATGATTCAGGATGAAGCTGACAAATAACATTCATCAACCTGTATCAACAGAGAAGCAGGTTACCTAAAAATGTGAGCCATGTCTTTGTGCTCAACCCAAGGACCACAAGGCCGATGATCTTGGACGCCAAGCCCCATAGTCCCACAGTGGTGTCCCTCATCTTCCTACACAGAGGCAGAACTGTGACCAGGGTTAAACTGCGAGTGAAGTTCTCCAGGCCCTTAAAGTAACCAAATGTTGTCTGAGACCAGCTGAGTGGTGGTCGCCGTGTGTACAGGAGAAGGACGTCAATTTCACCTGTCAAACAAGAAGAATTACACTATCAATGAGGTTGGTGTTGACATGGTTGACATGTCGCACATCTTGGTTAGCTACTGGGGATTACATCATCAACAAGGCTGAGGTTGACATGTCACACCATCTTGGTTAGCTACTGGGGATTACATCATCAACGAGGCTGAGGTTGACATGACACATCTTGGTTAGCTACTGGGGATTACATCATCAACGAGGCTGAGGTTGACATGTCACGCCATCTTGGTTAGCTACTGGGGATTACATCATCAACGAGGCTGAGGTTGACATGTCACGCCATCTTGGTTAGCTACTGGGGATTCCAGGTTAGAATAATTCCCCTGGACCCGATGCTGAACTGAATAGGTGACTTAATAGACTGGGAGGTGAGTGACCTGGTTGACTACGTGTCATCATACCCGATAAATATGGATGCTGCTCCTTGTATCAACTACTGGACTGTCAGTCATGTTTAAATATCATGAAACGAGGAACACTTCTTTTGTAACTGAGAACAGTTTATATCACAGTATGATTAACCCTTTGCTTTCCCTTAAGAAGTTAGGTAAATCATTTAAATTGCGTGGTGAACTTAGAATCTGAACTTTTTCATCTCTTTCCTCCATACAGTTGTGATAAATTTTGGTGAGCCCTGTTATACTGTATACTCTCTAACTGTTAAGTGAGTGAGTGAGTATAGTTTTATCGCACTTTTAGCAAAATTCCAGCAATATCATGGCGGGAACAGCAGAAATGGGCTTCACAATCGAAAGCGTGTTTTCAATGTGACGATTGGATGCTTTAACCTGACAGGGATAGAAATACTATTTTTTCTAAATGTGCCTTAGGGCACCAGACAAATATTTTAGGTGTGCCTTTCAGAAATCGAGTATGCCCACATGTTTTTAAAATAAATAACAATGATGATGATCATTTGAAATTTATTGTTAAATAAAGAAATGGGTTTATGAGCATTCAAATATGTATGGTATTATTCAATTTGGAAAAAAATAATTGTTTTGGGGATTAAATGACTAAATGTGAGTTATGTCTCTAAACAATTGGGCGTGTCAAAAGGGCACCGAGAACATCTTTTATTCGTGCCATTTCAATATTTACCATACCATGGCACACTAATATATGGGGTATTTCCAACCCTAAACCATTAGACCACTTCTCCATTGCCCCTCTGTTACGAGTCACTCATTTATTAGGTGAATCAAACTGTATGCTTTCATGAATTCAATTTATTATTCGTGGTCACTAGAATATTTATGAATATTTTAAAGAAAGAGTTTTCACTTGAACTAGTTAGTTGTTTATCTAAGCGAGATACGCAAAATGGAATGTTGCTAAAATATAATTTTCTCAAGGCCCTTTGCGTCATTGCTGTCCGTGATGTACTACTGTTTGTGATGTATTGCTATTTTTGCTTTGTAGAGAGCATCATTTAAATGTTTCAGCTTAAGCTATTCCATGGCATGCTTGTCATTTTCATTGCTTGATTTCAAACAAAAAGTATTCATGTATAAATATTTGTATTTGTTACTATATATTCAAAAAACACACATCGTATTTGCTTCGTAAAGTATTTGTTGCATCCGTAATGTTTACCCTCTGATCCTACCCTCCCCCTTCCCTACTGACCACCCCTTAATACAGAATAGGGGGTGATGGGGTAGCCTTGTGGTTAAAGCGTTCGCTCATCATGCCAAAGACCTGGGTTTGATTCCCCACTCGAGTACAATGTGTGAAGCCCATTTCTGGTGTCCCCCACCTTGATATTGCTGGAATATTGCTAAAAGCGGTGTAAAACTCATTCACCATGTTCACTAACTCACTAATACAGAATAGTGTATTAGATGCAGTTCTCAGTTTGACAAATACAACAAAAACCTACTCACATGATGTTCCCATAACAATGATGATGAAGATGATGAGTGCTAAGAAGATATAGAGGTTTTTCTTCTCTTCCCTCTTCTTCATCACACAACGGCCAGATTCTAAAACGGATGTCAAACACCAGTACATGCAGACACCTTCACCTTCACGTCTCCTTGTGTTGGCAGTGATGTTCTCTAGACGTATGATGGCATATACCATTCCTAAGAAGAAGCTGACACTTATGAAGGCGAAGACAAACATGTAGCTTGTATTGTCCAGCATGACGCCGGATATGAAGACTCCAACTGTTCCAGCAAAGAATGTCATGGACTCCAGGATCCCTATTCGCATAGTCTTATTACTGGGATCAGCAATGTGGCTCACGTAGCTGTATACGGACATCAGCAGGGTAGGGAAACCTCCGGACAAGCCCTTTACTAACGCACCAATCAAAAGATACTCCAGTTTACTTGAAGGGTAAATGGACAGGAGTAAGTAGACAATGGAAGACAATGCTGCTCCCAGACAGGGAATAATAACAGGCAGCTTCCGACCCACTTTGTCACCCCAGGATCCATACAGAAACAGAACTGTCAAACATGATGGAACAAGATCCACAACAGTGTTCTTTAAAATCCAGTAGGAGGCCTGAGATTGGACATAATCCTCTTCTGTTTTGTGCTCCTCTTGGAAAGTCCCGTTGCGCATGCTGGTACAGAAAGTCTGGTTGTATCTGTCATTACAGACCTTCTTGTACACAAAGGCCTGGAAGGTTGGGTATGTCAGAAAGGATCCGATCATGTAAAGAAACAAAACTGGTTCAACTGTTATGAGATTCAGATCAAACTGTCGTCTGCCACATCTAATTACGGCCATTTTTGAAGATGTAAGAGAATCCAAGCTCCTATTCAGTAACCACACTGTAAATGCTCTAGGACAACTTCAGGAGAAACTGTTATGAGATTCAGATCAAACTGTTGTCAGCTATATCTAATTACATCCATTTTTGAAGATGTAAGAGAATCCAAGGTCATTTCAAGAGATTCAGATCAAACTGTCGTCTGCCACAATTTCAGGAAGTCCTCCCAAACCAGATCTGAAAGGATAAATGATTTCATTCAATAACATGTAAAGCCACTATTTCTGGTTCACCCAAAACAACATGAACGTCCACAAGTACAGACATCACAACATAAACTACACAGCATTGTACAGAATACCCTGGCAGATGTCAAGTAGTCTGCATTCTATATTTAATGTATACTTTGAGAGACAAAATTACCCTGCATTACAATGTAACCCTTGGTGAGTGTATTAATAATGCATTACAATGTAACCCTTGGTGAGTGTATGTATCATGCATTACAATATAACCTTTGGTGAGTGTATGTATCATGCATTACAATGTAACACTTGGTGTGTGTATGTATCATGCATTACAATATAACCCTTGGTTAGGGTATTTATCATGCATTACAATGTAACACTTGGTGAGTGTATGTATCATGCATTACAATATAAACCTTGGTGAGTGTATGTATCATGCATTACAATGTAACCCTTGGTGAGTGTATGTATCATGCATTACAATATAAACCTTGGTGAGTGTATTTATCATGCATTACAATGTAACACTTGGTGAGTGTATGTATCATGCATTACAATGTAACCTTGGTGAGTGTATTTATCATGCATTACAATGTAACACTTGGTGAGTGTATCATGCATTACAATATAACCCTTGGTTAGCGTATTTATCATGCATTAAAATGTAACACTTGGTGAGTGTATGTATCATGCATTACAATGTAACCTTGGTGAGTGTATTTATCATGCATTACAATGTAATCCTTGGTGAGTATGCATCATGCATTACAATGTAACCTTGGTGAGTGTATTTATCATGCATTACAATGTAACCTTGGTGAGTGTATGTATCATGCATTACAATGTAACCTTGGTGAGTGTACGTATCATGAATTACAATGTAACCTTTGGTTAGCGTATGTATCATGCATTACAATATAACCGTTGGTTAGTGTATTTATCATGCATTACAACTGACTGACTGAGTTTAGTTTTACGCCGCTTTTAGCAATATTCCAGCAATATCACGGCGGGGGACACCAGAAATGGGCTTAACACATTGTGCCCATGTGGGGAATCGAACCTGGGTCTTCGGCGTGACGAGCGGACGCTTTAACCACCAGGCTCCCCCACCGTCCCCATGCATTACAATGTAACCTTGGTGAGTGTATGTATCATGCATTACAATGTAACCTTGGTGAGTGTATTTATCATGCATTACAATGTAACACTTGGTGAGTGTATGTATCATGCATTACAATGTAACCCTTGGTGAGTGTATGTATCATGCATTACAAAGTAACACTTGTTGAGTGTATGTATCATGCATTACAAGGTAACACTTGGTAAGTGTATGTATCATGCACTACAATATAAACCTTGGTGAGTGTATGTATCATGCATTACAATGTAACCCTTGGTGAGTGTATGTATCATGCATTACAATATAAACCTTGGTGAGTGTATTTATCATGCATTACAATGTAACACTTGGTGAGTGTATGTATCATGCATTACAATGTAACCTTGGTGAGTGTATTTATCATGCATTACAATGTAACACTTGGTGAGTGTATCATGCATTACAATATAACCCTTGGTTAGCGTATTTATCATGCATTAAAATGTAACACTTGGTGAGTGTATGTATCATGCATTACAATGTAACCTTGGTGAGTGTATGTATCATGCATTACAATATAAACCTTGGTTAGTGTATTTATCATGCATTACAATGTAACACTTGGTGAGTGTATGTATCATGCATTACAATGTAATCCTTGGTGAGTGTATGCATCATGCATTACAATGTAACCTTGGTGAGTGTATTTATCATGCATTACAAGGTAACCTTGGTGAGTGTATGTATCATGCATTACAATGTAACCTTGGTGAGTGTATGTATCATGAATTACAATGTAACCTTTGGTGAGTGTATTTATCATGCATTACAATGTAACACTTGGTGAGTGTATGTATCATGCATTACAATGTAACCTTGGTGAGTGTATGTATCATGCATTACAATGTAACCTTGGTGAGTGTATGTATCATGCATTACAATATAACCTTTGGTGAGTGTATGTATCATGCATTACAATATAACCGTTGGTTAGTGTATTTATCATGCATTACAATGTAACACTTGGTGAGTGTATGTATCATGTACTACAGTGTATACCTTGTTGGAGTTAAAGGGGCACTGAGCCTGGATGTTGCCTTTGGTAAATGCATTGTTTTCTGTGCATAGCTGGATTACATCCCAGAAATCTAAACTGGTTAACGATCTTTTCTGCACCACACGTCAACCCACAATAGAAGGGCATATCCTCACATTTGATCAACAAAGATGAAATACAGTGGAATTAATTGGGAAATGTAGCTATATTTGTAAGCCCTTAAAATTTCAGTTATTTTACAAACTGCTTGCAAAACATGTCCATAAAGTTTATTATGATAATAATTCCAAACATTTTGAAGTTTAATTTCATTTCAAAGTGACAGAAAGTGGGATCCAAATCAATCTTCATACCATCTGTACACCTGAAATCTGAAAATGCTTGCACTGTTGAGAGACTTTCTTAAAATCTGACTATATATACTCTTAAATAAAAGTAGGGGAACTTCATTTTTAATTTACTATTGAAAAAATTGGGAGATACATCGGAGTCAATCAATGTTGATATGATCATAATGAATGTTTTGAGAGGGCATCACCACTTGCACTTCCTTATGACCATAGATGTTTGTACAGTAATCGCTCTTGAACGATTGGTGTATGGCGTGAAATATGCATGTGTATGATTTTCATTTTCAAACAAATCAAAACCGACTAGAAACAAACACTAACAACTGTGTGATATAAGATGATTGTCAAAATTAATGGTTTACAGTGATTATTGACCTTCTTGAAAATCATCAAAATCAAGAATGACACGTGCATGGGGCTACTACGTTGTGCACGTGCATCCCATGGATTGTGTTTAGGGGTGGTGATAAAGAGAAATGGTGGTGCGTTCATAACATGTCTGTCTTCCTATCCCAACTGAAAGTTCAGGTTCCACTACTTTTTTTTTAAGAGTATATATCAGGGATATTTCCAAATAACAGCATATAATGGGCATCTGACATTCTTTTTGTCTACTTGTAAGGTTGAAACAATGAATTAACACAAGCGGTGTGAGTATAAACAATGTCTGAAAGTTTATGTCCACTGTTCTACAGATAGTAGCGCTGTCTCATGTCCCCCAGACATTGTGTCCACCATTAAATCATCTCGTGGCAGCTAGTGAGTCCTAGATGACAGTGTTAGACTAACAGCTGAAGCCATAGAACAGTGGCCCTTTTATTAACCTACATTAAAATGTAGACACAATAATGTATTCACTCGTGAGGGTTGAAAGTCCTGCTGTAAAGCATACCTTGGTAGAAACCTTGGTAGAAACTTTATTGCCTTGCAATTTAATAGGAGTTAAATTACCCTGTGTTATAACATATACCTCAGTGAGCGTTATTTACCCCGCATAATAACGCTTATCCTACTTGGTCGTGTTAATTACCATTAATTATCACAAGTGCTTTGGTGGAAATTATTTATCATACATTATAGTATTAATACAGTTTATTTAGGTGGCAGTTAAATTACCCTGTGTAATAACGCATACCTACTGGCAAACAAGGATAAGTTGAGCACCAACAATTGACCTGTATGTGAATGCGTGAGTTCCGCCCACTGGCACTTGCTATTGTTAGCGAAGGGGCACCAGGTTGTCCGCGATGAAGTTTAGTGCAATGGGTGAATTGCGTGGCCTGTCTCAGCAAACACCGAGTTCGACAGTGGCAGGTGCATTTGTTTGCATGTTACATTAAAAAATTAATGGGAATTTATAGTCTCTCATAACCATTAATGGTTGGCTAATAAGTTACTATGTTTTATACCTTTACAGAATCTACTTTTAATATGAAGTGTGACCTGAAAAACATAACTGTGCATCTGTCTGCAATTGTGTGTGCATAAGATACACATGTGTACTTACTGAAAATGAAACAAATTTATTTTCCACAAGAGAATGAATCACATTGTAATGAAGCAAGGTAGACCTTTCTTCTGCCTGGCATAAACATTACCTGGCCATGCTTGAAATAACTGACAGTAATGCCAAGGTGTCATAGGACCTATGTAACAATCCCTTATAATATCTTGTTCATGGTTATGAACTGTAAACTTATTACTTAATACTGGCAGCGGGATATAACAACACTAATCGTTAGATTCTGATTCGCTATCCGATTCACTCGTAAGACCAAGTTCGACAATGAATGAATGATGTTTTCCATTTCTGCTTCAACCGCGATTTCTCGTTGTTAGTACCCATCTTCAGTAGCTTGGACATGCTTACAGCATTCCGACCACTCCTTGGAAGCGAATGCTGACATTCTTTCTTCACATTGTGCCCGAAGCGATGTCTTTGTGAACTGCAAGTTTTGCCTGGCAACATATTTCTTGACATTGGCCCAAATCAACTCAATTGGGTTCAGATCTGCATTGTATGGAAGTAACCGCAGAACGACATGCCCATGTTGCTTAAGCATGGTATCTATGCGATATACGGGACCGGCTTTGTTAGACCTGGCAAGAAAGTCCACAGTTCGGCTTCGAGCATTTTGTCGTTGAGCGCAATATGGTGCCTTTTTAGCCAAGCTTTGATGTTACCCTTGCTATTGGCGGTTGTTGGGCACTTGTCAACTTGCTTGCTATGGTATGGAGCGTTGTCCATAACAATAACGGAGTTGGGTGGAATATTGGGTATCAATTTTTCACAAAACCATTTTGAGATATTCTCAAAATTCATCTCATCTGTCGTTTTGAGTTTAGCGTAAAATATTTGCAGTGCATTTGCCCCAAATCAGTTCTCAGAACTTGCATGCACTACTATCAGCCGGAGATCTAGACCCAGACGGTGGTCGAACGCCACCTATATCCATGTCACCCTCCAGTTGCCAACATTT